GATAAAGAAGATGTGGTACATATACACAATGGAATACTACTCAGCCATAAGAAGAAAACAAATCCTACCATTTGCAACAACATGGATGGAGCTAGAGAGTATTATGCTCAGTGAAATAAGCCAGGCAGAGAAAGACAAGTACCAAATGATTTCACTCATATGTGGAGCATAAGAACAAAGAAAAAATTGAAGGAACAAAACAGCAACAGACTCACCAACTCCAAGAAGGGACTAGGGATTATCAAAGGGGAGGGCTGTGGGAGGGTGGGCGGGGAGGGAGGAAGAGGGGGATTGAGGGGTATTATGTTTAGTACACATGGTGTGAGGGGCCACGGGGAAAACAGTGCAGCACAGAGCAGGCAAATAGTGGATCTGTGGCATCTTACTACACTGATGGACAATGACTGCAATGGGGTATGGGTGGGGACTTGATAATGGGGAGAATCTAGTAACCATAATGTTGCTCATGTGATTGTTTATTAATGATATCATAAAAAAAAGAACATTAGCCATTATGAAACAAATCATTACAGAAGTGTGGCTGGGATCTGGAAAAGATGTGTAAGAAAACACCTGGTTAACTGGAAAAAAGGACTGAATGAGCAACACATAGCCTACTTCACTCATTTGATTACCTGCCTGACCTCAGTGGGCTTTGGGGCTTACAAGCACTGACATATGAATGCAACCCTTTTCTATAAGGGTTGCCATCATTTCTCACACTTAAGATACTGGGTGGGTTTACTGCCCCTTATTCAATTATGTTCTTAATGGTCATCTGCCAAATGGGGCCAACAATGGCCACTGAAAAGGGCTGTTGGGAGAATGGAAGCTATCTCTAAATTCTTAAGACAGTGCCAAGGAGACAGCAAGTAAATACACAATGGATTATTATTAGTTTCTTTATAACAGTGTACCTGAGGATTACCAAGTACTAAAAAAAAGTAGACGTGCCCCAAAGATTGCATGCTGCTCAGAATAGCATAGAGCTCAGTGGTACCTAATGTGGTGATTCTGAAGGGGGCAAGGAGATCATGTGCATACTTTCCAGGGCAGGCTTTTTCTAACTATATACGAAATTAAAATTCTGATGTGCTCCTTGGATTCTCCAGTAGACAGACCCCTTCTATTTTTAGAATACTTCATTTAGGGCTCCACTATTTTCAGTATCAATGCCTGTGGATAAAATGCGAGTTCCTGTGGCCAGGATTCTTACCTGGCCCTGGCTGACTGGCTCACTGCACACCTGTGGGCAATACAAGGCTGTTGACTCTATATAAAGAGTTCCGCCCAGTACTCTGGGCGCAGTACGGTGGCAGGGCTGCAAGGCTGCAGGAGAGCAGAGCAGAGGCTGGAGTGGTGGCAGCGCCGAGGACAGAGGCCCAGAGGACGGCTGTGTGGGATGACTGTGCAGAGAGGCCCACAGGATGGCTATGCGGGACGGCTGTGCAGAGAGGCCCAGAGGACGGCTGTGTGGGAAGACTGTACAGAGGGGCCCAGAGGCAGAGACGGGCTTGCTGCCTGCAGACTCACTCTGAGTGAATGGGATTCTAGTGACTGACCTGCCACCTGGAAATAAAGTTGGGTATAACCCTTTCACCCCAAGAACATATTGCTGTCAATTTCTCTGGTCACATCGAATCCACAGCAAAATTGCCCCAGGCTGAAATCCACTGGCAAGACAATGCCTATCCCTCAGAAGCCTTAGGGCTAGAAAGCCTTGAGAATCAGGACTACAAACTAAAGGAAGCTGACACAGAAAACAATGTCTCCAATGTGCCTGATAATCACAACCATCAGACTTCTGCTCCCCTACTCTGAAGACGGATTCAGCAGGTCTAGGGACTGGTCAGAACGTGTATTTTAATAGCGCCTGGTTCTTACAGCAAGTCAAGTTTGCAACAACTCCTATCTAGTGAAATTGAAATTGAGAGTCCAGCAGACCTGGATCCAAATTCAACGCCCAGAACTTATAGCTAGGTATTCCTGGGCCATTTGCAGAGAACCTCTTTCCTCATTTGTGAAAAGAGCCTAACAATACCTACACCTCCAAGGACTGTTGTGAAGCCTGAAGACACTACCATATTGTGGAGAAGTTGGGGTTCCTATGGCCAGGATCCTCACTGAACTTAAACCACCTGACGATGTAACTGGCCTGTTGCTAGGCTACTGCTTCCACACCTTCAGGCAATAAGCTATTATTGAGCTACATAGAGAGCTCGGCCCAGTGTTCCGGGCAGAGGTAGAGACGCTAGTGCTCGACCTGCTGCTGGAAGAACAAGCCGGGTAATAAACCCTTTCGCCCCAAAGAACGTTTTGCTGTCAATTTCTTTGGTCACATTGAATCCATAGTGAACTTGCCCGGGGCTGAAACCCAATGGCAAGACAATTGGTGACAGTCAGCAGGGTTCATTGTTGAACAAGGAAAAGAACAGGCTGCTCTTATGGGAGGAGCGTTTGAGCGGGCTGCCCCTATGGGTGGGGAGACATTCGAGTGTCCCCCAGTGGACATGTGGTCCAATGCGGCTTGCCTCCTAGAGGATGGGGTTCTGCCCCAAGACTGGAAAGGGGTGGAGGCAACACCTGAGGCAGTAAAGTTGGCCTTCAGCAAAATAGGGAATTCCTTGGAGAAATTGAGTGCCCATGAGGCTGTGGGAATGGTGGGGCGTTTTCTTCTCACAATATTGAGAAAGGCTGTAAGTGAGAAAGATGCCCTCCTGCAGGAAGCACGAGAAGAGGCAGCAAGAGAACATAAGCTGCACGATGCTGTTGAGGAGGTAAAAAATTTGTTGGTGACTAAAATGATGTCACTACAAGGTACTGTGGAAATGATAAAGGATCTCGTGGCAGCCTGAGAGGAGGCAGCACGAGAAGCAGCAGCACTTGAGCTCAGACTGCCAGGTGCCCTGAGGCAGGTGAAGGATGGAGTGGAGCCTCAGCCCCAGAAATGGTTGAAACCTCACCTGCTGGAAAGCTGGTGGAAAGCGGGAAGGAAAATAAAGGCTCGGCAACCATGGGTTCTTCCAGGAGAGGTGCAGCCCCCTCCCCAGGTCGTGGAGCACTCCATGCTCTGCTTCTATCCTCAGGCTCAAGCACAAAAGGAAATACGGTCTACTTCTCAAAGGAAGAATTTAAAGGGTCCCGTGAAGGTCACAAGGACCCAGAGGTGGGCTGGTTTGAGAAAAGCAGGAGCAGACAAAGAGAAATTGGATGGAAAATCAAACAGAATCTTACTGGAGCTACGGCAACAAGTGAGACAAGAGCAGCAGTTCTGGCCACTGAGGATAAAACAGAAGCCAGAGACAAAGCAACAAGATTGGCCTGTGTGTCTGCAGGACTTTCTACTGGAGAGGCTGGAGAAGGTGGGTATTGTACGGCCCACCCACAGTTCTTTTGGTTAACTCATCTGAGTAGAACTGGTTTGAATACAGCCAGGATGACCACCTGGTGGCAATGGATCTCCTTAGGCTTGAGTGTTATTATAATTTGTCATACTTTGTTATTTGTATATTAGGTTATTATGGAATTTGATTACAATGTTCCAGCTTCCTCACGCAGGGCGCACACTGCAGAGGACTGAAGGCACGTAGATTGAGAGGTGAGTATCCTGGAGGGGTAGGGTGTGGATAAAGTGAAGGTTCCTATGGCCAGGATTCTCATCTGGTCCTGGTCCGCTAGCTCACTACATACTTGTGGGCAATGTATTGTTATTGACTCTACATAAAGACCTCCACCCAGTGCTCTGGGCGACATGGTGGCACAGATGCTGGAGAGCAGAGACTGGAGTGGTGACAGTACCGAGAACAGAGACTGAGAAGGCTGTGGGGGTAGAGAAGCCCAGAGGCAAAGAGCAGCTTGCTGCATGAAGACTCTCTCTGAGTGGACAAGATTCTAGTGAATGACGTGCCACCATGGGAATAAAGGTGGGTATAAACCTTTTCACCCCAAGAACAGCCCATTGTCATTCTTTGGTCTCACTGAATCCACAGTGAACTTGCCCATGTCTGAAACCCATTGGCAAAACAATCTGTCATACTTCTTCAGTGACGACCCACTTTTTACAGAAGCAGGCATATGCCAGCAAGAATTTTCATATGTATAAGAATTGTCACATTTAATGAGAATGTTTATAAGACACATACACAAAAAGACTCTTTAACAGAGGGAGGCAGAGCACAGGGACAAAAACTTGGTGAAAACTCCTGTAGCTATTAATGTTACATGAATATAACTACATACTGTGTTCAGTAAGCCATTACTTCTTGGAACGACTGGCTATTAAAAATTACTCCCAACTGGGAAGCTATAGAAACTTCCTTTGAACTTAAACTGGTAAAACTTGCTGTACACTCCTCTTAACAATGGATGTATTTCAGATAATCCTGACTGTGCCAACTTTGTAAAGAGGGCTTTTTTTTTTTTGGAGAAAAGATTCCAGATTCTCAGAAGGATCCAAGCCCCACAAAACGGTAAGACCTCCATGCTAATGACAATGCCCAAAGGACTTTTTTTCTGCTTTGTATTTGAAGTACTTAGGAAAAAATTAAGTAGTACAAACATTAGAGAAAAATTAGTCCTACCCATGTCCTGAGTCCTCCCCCACAAAGGCAACCCTTGTTCAAAATTCAGCAATCCTTCAAGAGCAAGGTTTCTCAGTCTTATACTTACTGACATTTTGGGCCAGATCATTTTTTGTGGGTGCTGTCCTGGGCCTTGTAGTATGTTGGTGAGTATCCTTGACGTCTAGATGTTAACTAGTGCCAACTGCCCCCACCCAATTGTGGCATCCAAAAGTATCTGAAGACTGCCAAAATCGGGTGACAAAAAACGCCCCAGATTGGGAACCACTGCTTCCAGAGACACTCTATGCACGCGCAAACAGGAGTGTGCACTTCTCATTCGCCCCGCCCCGCATTGGTGGCACACACTTTCTAACTCATTGTGGGGTTGCACCGGGGCAGAGGCTGGCCGGGCCTCGGCTGGAGGCGGCGGCCACTCACCAAGTCGCGGATGAGCTGGTCCACCAGCTGCTCCCCGCGCCCGGCGTCCTCACGCGCGGGAGGGGAACGGGAACGGCTGGCCGCGTCCTGCCTCTCGGCCCGGGTCGCCCGCGGCGCCGGGGGCCGTCCCGCGCCCTCCAAGAGGCCCTGGGCCAGCGCCAGGTACCCCGAGGCCTGCTCGCCGCGCCCAGGGGCCACTTCGGGCCGCCGCGGCCTCCGCTCGGCAGCCTCCGGCCGCCGCCGCTTCCTCAGCGCCTGGGCCTGCGCCAGCTCCTCCTGCCAGCGCCGACGGAACTCGTCCAGGCTCTGGTCGTCCATCGCCGCTGCTCCGACCCTGCGTCCTCTCGACCCTGCCAGGTGCCACGGGACAGTCCCTCCGCGGGAAGTGTCCGCCACGACCGGAAACCCGCGCCGCTGCCGCACTCGAGTTCCGTGTGGGCGACCCCGCCCCCGGCGAGCCCGTCTTGTGGTCCCCGGAGCTAGTTGCTTGCAGCGCCCCAGGCCGAGGTCTGTGTCCTAACTCCGCGCCCAGCATCTCAGCTTTCCTGCCTGTGGCTTTTGCCAAACGTAGACGTTGCGCCAAACACGTTTCTTCGTTACACGAACATGAGCACCGAGGGAGGTGCTGAGAATTTAGCATTTGAATTGCCCCACACACACCCTACCCCGCTTCATACTCATATCCCATCCCCTCTTGGGATTTGCTTTGGGTGGGGGGCGGGAGGAGGGAAGGAGACGTTCAACAAATGAATATGAATTCTTAAAACACTGGTAGGTGTTATGAAGAAAATAAGGCAAAGAGAAGAAACCAGCTGTGGGAGAGATCAGATCTCAGAAGAGGTATCTCCAGAAGGAACTTCAAGTGAGATGGGAAAGAAAGAGGCATGCAAATCATTTTCCATCTTCAAAATGCTTTGTATCTGCTGTTCCCTCCTCAGGGAATTTCTCTCTCCTTGAACTGGTTAACTCCTACACACCTTTCATATCAGCTCATACTTCACTTAACCTCCCAACTCCTCCTCCCCAACACCCAAAAATCTCAGTTATTCTTTCTTACATTATTCTAGACTTCTCATAGCACAGAACACAATTTGTGATATATTACATTTGCGTGATTGTTTATTAATATCTCCCTATTGGACTGTTGATTCTTAGCTTAGAAGCTGGTAAGTGTAAGTGTTCAATAAATATTTATTGAATAACAACCCCTTAAGTATTGTCCCCACTTTACCGATGACAAAACTGAGCCAAAAATCATATGACTGGTAACATGCAGACCCAGCATCCTAATATATATATGTATTTTTTTACTCAGGACCTGACCTATTATTTATTAAATCGCACAGCCTACATGCCTAGGCTATTTAGGAACCATTTGGGTGCCTCTATCAGTACATTACAAAAATCATGGTATTAACAGCCTGATTCTTAACAGTCTGGGCTTCAGAGTTAGACAGATCTAGGTGGGCATCCCAGCACCCTCATTTGCTCAAATTCCCTTTCTTCCAGCAATTCCACTTCTAGGAATTTATCCTAAAAGAACAAAGTGAGGATGATTTCAAAGAATTCATTCAAGGATATTCACCAAAGCATTGCTTATAGTTCTGAGAATCAAAAGCAGGCTAAACAGTTGACAACAGGACCTTGGTTAAATAAATTTTGCCCATTAGAATGTAAGAAAGATCCTAACTTGAACATCAGCTCCATGAGAACAGAGACCTGATTTATCATTGCTATTTCTTCAGCACTCAAAACAGTACCTGGGATGTAATAGCTGCTCTATGAATAATGAATGAATAAATGAAATACTGTGCAGCTATTAAATATGTGGAGAAAATTTAATTGCATGAAGGTTCTTAACAGCAAGTGAAAAAAGATACAGAAACACATGCAGTGTGATCCCAATAGTTTTTTTTTAAGTGTATAATGGGCATTTAGTAATGTATGTAATTGTTGAATCACTAAATTGTTCGTCTAAAATCAATATTGCATATAAACTATTTCAAAAAAGTGTATGTGCATTAAAGAAGGAAGACTATACACCCAAATCTTAACAGATCTCTAGAGAGGGCAGGATTACAAGTGGTTTTAGTGTTCTTTTTCTTTATCTATATGTTATCATTTTCTATAGTGAATGTTGTCCTAGTCTGGGTTCCCCTAGAAAGCAAAGCCTGAATCCTGGGGTTGCGGGTGTCTACTTATTTGTAGGAGTGATTCCAGAGAAAAGGAAAGAGGGACCAAGAATGAGACAGGGAAGGAGGCACAGCTAATCCAAAGAGCATTCTTGCATTGGTCCTGCTGTGGGCAACTTAAGAGTCCATCGCACTGGGACCTTCTTTCTCTGCAGCACAGACGGGATTCAGTGTCAGCTGCCAGTTACACACTTAGCATACTCCAGTTTGAGAACCACTATCCCAGCGGGTCAGCAGAATGGCCTGGTTTGGGTCACATTCCCAGCCCTTGAAGAGTAGGGGTTAAAACAGGTTGGATTTCCAGGACCACAGGAAATGGGGAGTCAGAGTTCCTGAAACAGAAGTGGAGGGAATGGATATTGGGCCAAACTAAACCATCTACACAGCTAATCATTGGGATTTGCTTTGGGTGGGGGGGGTGGGAGGAGAGGAAGGAGGGACACTCTATGGGGATTCAGTTTTAGTGTCTCCCATGCTGTCAAAGTCTTATCTGCCTATGTCAACACGTGGTTGCTTTCCCCTTGGAACCTAAGCTCAGGCCTGCCAGAGCCCCAGAAAGATGGATGAGAAATGGTCATCTTCCTACCCCCCAAATACTGCCTCACTCATCTTCCTCCAGCCAGTCACACCCTGGACTACCAACGGGCAAGAGCTTCTTTACTACAGGATCAGGTATGTAGGTCTCAAAACAGTAGCAAGGGTGGAAGGGCAAGAGCAGAGATTATTTATTTTCATGTACAAGGAAAGATTTTATCACATTCTTATTGCTGCTGTAACAAGGTAAAGTGGTTTAAAACAATGCATGATTTTTCTCTTACAGTTCTTGAGTCCAGAAGTCCAAAAGAAATTTCACTGGGGTGAAGCCAAGGTGCTGGCAGGGCCATGCTTCCTCCAGAGGCTTAGAGCAGCATTTGTTTCCTTGTGTTCTGTCATCTCTAGTACTGAATCCCTTGGTCAGGGGCTCGTTCCTCCACCCTCAAAGCCAGTAGCACAGCCCCTTACTTCAGCCACTGTGTTGCCTTCTATCTGTGTTCAAGTCCCCTTCTGCCTCCCTCTTAAATGGGATCTTGTGATTATGTAAGGCGCACCTGCACCAGCTAGGCTACTCTCCCCATCTCAAGATAACTTAACTTAATGGCATCTGCAAAAGCCTGTTTGCCATCTAAGGTAACACAGCTTCCAGGGATTAGGACCTGGCTGTTTTTGGGGGCCACTATTCAGACTACTACAGAAGGCCTTCAGTGACCACAGACTCCAGTGCTACAAGTGACTCCAGGAAACAAATATGAGGCAAGTGGGCCAGGTGTGGACTGTGGCAAACAGGACAGTGGATGTCCATCTATACAGGAAAACCAATACTCAGTTCCTTCCACCCAACTGTTGGATCTTAGTCCAGATCTTCTAAAAATACATATTGTTATTTTTAATTATTAGCAACAAATTCCACTTTTTTTAAAGAATAAAGATTTTTATTAAAAGCATAAGTTGCATTCAGTAGCCTCCAAAGTCAACCGAAGTTCATTTTTGAGCAATCCTGAGTTAGGACAAAGCCCCATTGAACTTGCATTAAAATAACCTCCTAAGCAAAAACAAACACACAAAACACTCCTAAGCTCTTGTGGGCAGCAAGTCACACTTCATTTAGGATCACTAATGTGTGAAGAACACCAGGAGATTTAAAATGAAAACTAATATAAGGAAATGATTATGGTTTCAAAGTATTTTGTTTAGAAACATTAACAGAAACATGAGAATGACATAAATAGGCATTTTGACTATCAACATGACCCTGATGTATTCATTGCTATAGGCATTATTGCCCTTTGTTGCTGTTTTATGTCTTCATAATTAGCAAAATAGAAAATTGTGTGTGACAGGGGGAATCTTTGGTGTTTAAAAAAGGAATTACTCTCTGTAACAAGAAACAATTTGCTTGTTCTTGAGAATTTTCCTGTCAGTAATTCCATTTTTGAAAAATGCTGCACAGACGGGATTCAGTGTCAGCTGCCAGTTACGCACTTAGTTATTTGAAAGGAGATGGTCCCATATGGACATTACTCCACATCCCTCTCCTCGATCCCCTCCTGCTTTACTGAAGCCTCCTCTCCACCCATGAACCTCCCCAGCCTGGTTCCAAAGTTCCCTCTGAAATTTTACCCTCCCCCAGAGAAGAAACAGGCTCTGTCCTTGGGTCTCTTTCATTTGTCTTGAAAATTCTGCTCCAGCCTAATGCTCTTGGGAGATACTTTGTTCAACCAACCGGGGGCAGAGAAGCTGGAGGTAACGGCTTTGGCCCACATGATAGGAGCTCCAGCTCAGACTCAGAGCTGATTTCCTCGCCTGCCTACTTCAGAAGTAACACCCCCAGAGCAAGCAGGAGTTTCTCCTGGGGCTGTCCCAGTCTGGGTCCATGTAAAGATATTCTTGCTATTAGCATGACTTTGACCCTGACACAAGTGAAAGACATAGCCCAACATTTTTTAAATTCTAAATCATCCCTCCCAAACTTGTTTCTTTGCAACCCCAACCAAGTTTTTCCTATCAGCAAATGACACCACCACCTTGGTGCTTTAGCCAGGAACCTGGTCCTTCCTCTCTCTTACCTCTCACATCAGCAAGTCCTGACTAGTTTAGATTCACAACATATCTTGAATCTGTCTGATTCTCCCCAGCAACTCCACCACCATCCTAGTCCAAGTAGGGCTTTCAGATAACATACAGGACATGCAATGAAATCAGAATTTCAGATAGACAATGATTTTTTTGTATAAGTCTGCCCGTGAAAGATTTGATTTGAGATAAGCAAAGAATAACTTTTTATTATGAATATGTCCTATGCCATATTTGGGACATACTTAGATGAAAAAAAAAAAACTATCCCGTGTCTTTATTTACTAAATTTGGCAGCTCCATGTCCGAGGCACCATCACCTCGCCTAGACCACTGCTGTTACTCCTCGCTGCTTTTGTCACCTTCGCTCTGGACCTGGAAGTGAACCACACAGCTGCCAGAGAACTTCTGGAAAAGCAATTCAGAGAAGGACACTCCCCTATTTAAAATACCTCAAGGTGCCTCCACTGTTCTTGAAAGAACAAACAAAATCGTTTTTAAAAACAGCTTAATTGAGATATGATTCACATACTATACAGTTCATTGTACAATTCAATGGCTTTTAGAATATTCACAGATATGCTGAACCATCATCACATTTTA